TCACGGGAAGGTGAAAAGAGCGAGGAGGAAAGAGAGAACGGTTGAAAGAGTGAGAGGTGGAAAGAGAGAGAAGTTGAAAGAGGGAGATAGAGAGGTGCAAAGAGAGAGAGAGAGAGGTTGAAAGAAAGAGAGAGATGGAAAGAAAGAGAGGTGGAAAGAAAGAAGTGGAAAGAAACTTAGACGGACGGACGACGCACCACGCAAGCACGATTCACAGAATTTTAGTACTATTAAGCATTTATGTCCAAAATCCTGATGTTAAATTAGGACACCATCTGAGAAGAACCCCTTTTGGTCTCACGGGCATTTCATGTATATACACCATTTCCTTCTCTCCCTGCTTCCTACACGATAATAAATTTACATCTTTCTTTCTCTATTTATATGATTTCGCGCGCACGGTGGCAAAACACGCAAGCAAGCAAGGAAAGTTCACAGAGTTTTAGTATTATAAAAGATTAAGAAATTCATCTATGTAATAATATTTATTCATGCATGACTTTTTTTTTAAACTGTTAATTTCTGTTGGATTCAGTAATCACAAAGAACACACACACGTATATATATATATATATATATATATATATATATATATATATATATATCAATATATAATTGGTATATATGGAATGAATTCCAATAACCAACAATTACTATTCTTAAAAGAGTGCTCAATACAAAAGTAGAGCAGATATAATTATTATTTATAAAAAATTATAACATAAGTATACTTATGTTATAATTTTTATAATAATAATTATATATATATATATATATATATATATAATGTCATTCACATGCAAACCTGTTTCTCTGTATCACAGTTCATCAGTGCGACTACACAACCGAATGCTTCAAGCTAGGATCGAACCCGACAGATTTGGTATCAGTGGGAATTTCTACCTCTAAGCCATCGGCGCTTCGGCAGAGCGAAAGACGGATTCTAGTGTATTATTTTTAGGAATGTAAACAAACGCCAGACAGCCAGAGGGCTCTATTCATTAATGAAGAGCGATGCATTAGCGCTGACAGCTGCTGTTTATAGAATTCGCTCGTTATAATGTCATCACAGCTCATCAGTGCGACTACACAACCTAATGCTTCAAGCCAGGATCGAAACCCGACCGACTTGGTATCAGTCGGAGTTTCTACCCCTAAGCCATCGAAAAATCTTGACTAATGTTTGTTTCAACTATATTGATCGTATTTATTATTGTAATGAACTACGGAAACTTCTAAGAAAAATGTGCGAATTTGCATTTCCGTAACTTCAAATTATATATGTACAGGATAATAGTGCGGTCCCCGAAATCCCCTTACCCGTCACCTCAGTTCTCTGACAGTCCTCTGTACCCCTAGCTAACCGGAAATATATTTAAACCCTCTGCCTACCGCCATTCCATCCCCCAACACTAAAGAACAATGGCTCACATAGATCTAGCATTAAAATTAGGATTTAAATTCTTAGTTATTTTTACTAACCATGAACAGTAAATTTACGTTTTAATCCAATGGGATCTCAATTCATATCTAGTAAATAATTATAAAGCTTGTAACTTTTCTTATTTATCTAACTGTGATTAAAAAAGGAGCTCAACTAAAATATTTCCATGAGCCGCATATGTCAGAGAGCCGCATGTGGCTTACGAGCCGCGATTTGGCTACCTCTGAGATATACCAAGCATTTGGATAGTTTATTGATTTTATGTAATTTTTATGTAAATTTGATAGAATTAATAGATTATTTTAATTATATTAATTAATCTGTCTTTCATTTTTCTTCGTTTATAATGGAATTTTATTAAAATGTCTCTTTTGCATTGACGATAGCACAGATCGCTGGATATTCTTTGTGTCCAGAAGTGTCGACCTTTTAATTTATGTACCCGACGTTAGAACCATTGTGCTTATTCGTGTCGTGAAATATTTTCAATACTGTGTTTGTAAAGAGAGAGGAAAAATGTTGGTCTTCTCAACTCTCCAAGGTCCACCGTATATTCGAGATAGACCAGAGGTGGCCAAACTTGCTTAATGTAAGAGTCTCATCAAATAAAGTTCTGATGTTTGAGAGCGGCAAGACAAAAACAAAATTTACACATATTACATAAACATGTGATCACTCTCACCAGCCCTGGCGCAACCAAATCTTCTGACATTTCTCCGTAACCTTTGCTAACTGTAAATGTCTTTAATCCCTATGCCTCCCACAATTCCTTCACTCAGCACTAAAGGACAATGTCTCACATAGATCTAGCATTAAAATTAGGATTTAAATTCTTAGTTAGTTTTACTAACCATGAACATTATACATATATTTTAATCCAATGGGATCTCAATTCATACCCAGTAAATAATTATAAAGCTTGATTTTTTTTCTCATTTACCTTTTATGTTAATTGTGATTAAAAAAGAGCTCAGCCAATATATTTCCACGAGTTTCATATTAAGTTCAAAGAACCTCGTGAGGTTTCCGAAGTGCGGTTCGGTCACCTCGATATAGAGATTATTATATACACAGTGTTTCGACCAAGTACCTTCTGATCACCATCAGGAATCCATCGATAGGTTGATATCGGATACCTGTCGATTACATTATGGTGATATTCTGACGCTGTGATGTCCGTTAATTGTTTATTTCTGCTGTATCGATGCTACACTACCTGAGCCACAGGTTGAACTAACGACTGCTAGATGACAGCAACACATGTATAATCCATTACGCCACTGTCACGAATAGCAATTTTAGAAATATTTAACAAAATCGTTTGTTCAGTCTTTAAGGAGTGGAGCTCTGCTTTTCATATTTCTGCACCTGACACATTGACATTTGTAGTGTTTTTCCTGCAACATAACCTCTACAAAGTAAACTTAACTTATAGAATTATGATTGGCCTGGCTGGGTGAGACACTTTATACAAGAATACTACACCCTGGTAATTGTTTATCACTTAACTCTATAACTTCAGGAACTTACTCAAATAATGTATTTATAATAGATAATATTCTATATATGTTATTTTGAATTTACAAACTTAAAAACATTATCAATACAATTACAGGCTACATATAATGTCTCTGTTTTTCAGTAACACTTGTCCAACTTCTTGACCACTGACAAACCCTTTTTTTCCTAATTTATAATGTCGTCGTCGGCACCCAGCTCGCATCCGAGTATCGGGGTGTCGTCATCCTCACACACTATTCCTTTATTCTATCCATTGGTGGCGGTGGCGGAGATGTCTGTGAATCAGAGAGAGATTGACAGGGCCATTCGTGCAATTTTGATTTTGATAGGCAACTCTGCGCAACGGAGAAGCCCTCACGCTTGTCCAGAAGCGTCTCCTTCGCGGGTCAAAGGGGAACGAGACAGACGAGATCTGGCAAAACTGGTTGCAACGAGTTGTCGGGTTTGTTGGTCTGTCATGGTCCACTTTGGTTACACCAGCCCGTCTAGTGCTGTCCTCTTCCGCCGGTTTGGCCGTTAAGATCGTGTAGATCAGTGATTCTCAACCTATTTTACCCGATGCACCCTTTTCACCATAAGTCAGGATACCTTCCCCCCCCCCACTTTCCAAGAATGTCCAACTCAAAATGTGTACTTCAAATAATATGCATATATTATTGAAATTCTTCATTCTTTTTCCTATTATTCCATAGATATTTTCATGGATTATTTTTATAATGGCAAAAATCTCAAGAGCTAGCGGAAAGAAAACCCAGCGTGACCATTCAGTTGCGCCGAATGATGCACACTGCGAGTTGTGACACCCTGTGTAGTTTAAAAAATCCTTTATTTAGTTTTTGGGGTTTCGGTTTGTGCTTTTCACATCCATATTCCTATCCCTAGACGGGACACAAGATAGATTGTAATTTAACGAAGGATTGTTTGATTATATTAGATGGGGTTGTTTGTTGTTGCAACATATCAACATTTACTGGGTTATTTATTGTTAGATTCCTTATGGAGTACAAGAGAGACGTTTTACCCAGAAAATATAAAATTATGTACAAAATATCTGTAGTTGAAACCATAAAATTACGCACAAAATATTTAGATTCGGCATTAAATAATCCATAGAGGTGCTGATGTGCTGCTAAACGAAAATTGCTAAAAACCATTAAATTAGTAAGAAAGAAATATTCACTGGGGAAGAATTAATGAAACTGCTCGAATAGAGTTATCTTGGCATAAGGTTCAAGACAAGGACCCAGAGTAAGCGTGACAAACCCCAAAGACTCCATCGGTGGAACAAGCGGATGATAATTACAGTAGATCTCAACGGTTGAATCAGTGAATGAAGAAGGCTACGCATCACGGACATGCTACAGAAGGCGCCACACGAAATTATAACAGACTCAGTGACAGTCCGTTACAATTTCATAACTGGATTCTGCACGTCTCGTTCCCTATGTGCCACAGAGTAACCACATAAAATCAAGCGTGTGGGTCACTTCCTGGCAAGTTGAGGTCAACCTTAATGCACACCAGTGGAATTTTCTTCTATTCTGATTTTCTTCCAGCTTCAACCAGTTTTTGCAACGCCAATCGGCGATAGAGAATGAATGACCGGAGATGGTTATGGCGAAACTGGAAACTGCACATTATATATAATGTCAATGCTTTGTTAAAAAAAAATTCACTGTGGAAATTTTTTGAAAATCAGAAAGAGATATTGACACTGTTCAGGAATTTCTGCATGTATTTCTGACAGAATATGGATATTGTGTGTATAATGTAAATTTATTGCTAATTATTTTATTAGAGAAATGTATGACAAATTAGTAAAAACTGATTGTGATTATGATCTAATGAGAGAAATAAAATATCATTTAATCAATATACTTTATAATAGGTAAAACTATTCTGCATTTTGTTAAATTAAAAAAAACAAACAATATGTCTGACTTGTTTTTCGCTTAGTTTCGGCAAAGCAAACATCTGTCAGACCGAAATCTGAAATCCGCTTAAAAACATCCTGAAAATAGTGAATTGAGGATTTGATATGAAGGAAAAGACAAAATGGTTGCAACATTTTGTTTCCTAAAAAAGCTCTCAGAATATTATCATTTTTTTTTCTTTTTTTAAAGAAAAGTGACTTTGGCCAATCATTTCGATTCTTTGTTCCCGCTACAATGATTGAGTTGTAAAAACAATGCTGATTGGCAGAGTGAAGTTGGTTTAAAATAGCCGAAAACCCGCAACTGCTTAACCCTAAACCGACAACGTAATTGCTCTACGCAGGAGAATAACATAAAGAGAATTCAATGTCGGTAATAGATCGGGAGATAAATAAGGACTTAAAAGAAAGATTATAGAAAGATTCAAATGAGACGTGATAAATAATATGAGAGAGTGTGAAAGTAGTAGGATGAGGAGAATAGCAAATGAAAAAATGGCGGGAAAAGAAAAGAAATGGACGCTAAAAATAGTAAAGCTAAAATGGTATTGAAGAAAGGTTGAATTCATTGTAAGTGTAACATTAACAAAGGAGGCACGGTAGAGTAAGGGATTGAGGAATTGGAGAGCCGAGTTCGAATTCCACTTACGTACTAATACCCTTGTGAGGAGTAACGGTGGAGTAATGGATAGTGGCTTGGATTGAGGAATCGGAGAGCCGAGTTCGAGTTCCAGTCGAATCCATTACATTCACTTACTTGAGAAAGGTGTGAATCCTCTTCTTCTCCCTCCAGCTATGGGTAAATAGCAGGACAGACTGGGTTCTTTAGCCTTGGATGGCAACTGGTCTCAATTCAATTGGATGGCAACTGGTCTAAATTCATGCTCTGAATTCAAAACCTGCGGAGGGTCGTTTGGGGACCTTCAAAAAGTGTGTATGGTCCTGCACGAAACCTTCACCACTATAATCAAATCTCATGTGCTATACATGCGGGTTGGGGGACCGCTTGCGAATTCCAAATTCCCATGAAACTCCAATATTGGAGCCGGCTCAACCCACCTCGGTTGAATGCCGTTACAGGTACAGGTAATACCTTGGGAAAAGGTATGAATCCTCTTCTTCTTCCCCCTGCTATGGGTAAATAGTTCTATAGCTTTGGATGGCAACTGGTCTAGCGCAACAAGAAATGGCAACCTACTGCGGGAAAAAATCGGAAGATACATGATTGCCTAAGCGTTTATCAAGCATGGTACATAACTGACTTATATTCACTTACTTTCCTTGGGAGAGATATGAATCCTCTTCTCCTCTATGGGTAAATAGCAGGACAGATCGGTTTCTATAGCCTTGGGTGGTAATTGGTCTACCGCAGAAAGAAATGGCAACCTACTGCGGGAAAAAAAATCTGCTTCGTCAGTCATGTATCGAAAGATACATGATCGCCTAAGCGTGTATCACGCATGACAAATAACTGACTGAACACTTACGGAAAAAAATAGAAAGATATTTTACACGGATATAAAAGGAGTGAAATCTTGAAAAATTATTAGACATAGAAAAGCAAATAACTGGTAGTTTGCCTAAGCGTTTATCAAGCATGGTACATAACTGACTTATATTCACTTACTTTCCTTGGGAGAGATATGAATCCTCTTCCCCTCTATGGGTAAATAGCAGGACAGATCGGTTTCTATAGCCTTGGGTGGCAATTGGTCTACCGCAGAAAGAAATGGCAACCTACTGCGGGAAAAAAAATCTGCTTCGTCAGTCATGTATCGAAAGATACATGATCGCCTAAGCGTGTATCACGCATGACAAATAACTGACTGAACACTCACGGAAAAAAATAGAAAGATATTTTACACGGATATAAAAGGAGTGAAATCTTGAAAAATTATTAGACATAGAAAAGCAAATAACTGGTAGTTGGTGTTAAACTGGAACTCCAAAAATGCGTAAAAATCAAACGCGAGACAAGATCTCAAAGCGGTGCTTCTATATGAAGAATTTATCGTATTTTACAAGTACAACAATGTATGGATATTTGCAGTTGCACAAATATGTGCATTTGTACACATGAAATAGATAGGAATTGATGCTTCCTAAATGGTAATCATTTTTATAAGCATTAATTGTTCGGAAATTGCCTTAAATAATTATTAAGTTCAAATTATTTAATTAAATTATCTAATTTAATTGATTTACATAGACTTTAATTGACATTTGATGTCAGTTCAATAGGAAAATCTAAATCATGAAAATTAAATAAAAAATAAATTAGCTTTAAACGATAAAATTCATATGACAAATCATTATTAATTAATAAAACAATCATTAATTTTTGTGAGTAGATAAATTATTAAAAATTAAATATTCTGCAATAATTATTATTAAAATAATAAATAAAAAATATGTGATACAATGGTAAACTAAATATCTGATAAAAATCAGGACAGCAAATCAATCCCTATTGCAGACGCATGCTCAGGCACATTTTTTAAACACCCGTGGAGCCCACCTGTGGTTTATACCTCTACTATAATGAGCAGACCTTAGTTACAGTTTCTAGGAGAGAGCTGATTATCTGGTGTGATTAATAGTCTGAATACAGCCGGTACGGTCAAATATTCGGTGACTTGATCTAAAATAATTCCGTCTATAGGTTTCTATCCCACTTTCACGCTTGAGTCAAAAAGAATTTCGGTACGTTTTTTTTTCAAACGGGCTGCACGCTGGGATCGTTTCCACAAACTGATAACATCGTCAGCTTCGATGTTGGAGTGAATCGAACCCGGGACACATGGTCAGAAAGCGAACGTTCTAACCACTCGGTCACATGCCCTATAGCGATATTAATATAGAATGACTCTAAGCTACACCTAATAAAATAATAATAATAATAATAATAAAGACCACAAGAACAGAATATGCTTTCTAATTGACATGGCAATCGCTGCAGATTGTAATGTATCTCTGAAGATCGTCAAAGACCTATTAAAATATAAGGATCTTGAAGTGGAAATCTTAAAGATGAGGCACATGAGGACATCGATAATTCCAGTTGGGTTTGGAGCCCTCGCATTGATTGAAAAAGGTTCCGATAGTCTCATTAAAGCTATTTCTTTAGAGAAAAAAATGTACTCAAAAGTACAGTTCACGCATTACGAAGAGCTTTATCGATGTAAAATGTGTGTTTTTTGTTTTGGTTTGGTTTGTTTAGTTTTGGTTTATTTTTTTTTTTACAAAAATGACCAGTGGAAAATCTCATGAAACTATTTCTAACCATAAGTCTCTGGCTGGGACCCGGAAGGAAATGTGTATACAACAGAAACCTAAAGGAATAATAATAATAATAATAATAATAATAATAATAATAATAATAATAATAATAATAATTCCTGGAAGTCCATGCCTCAAGGAGATACAAAAAATTGTTCTGACAAGTACAGCCCACACCTTACGAAGGGCTTTATCTATATATTTTTTTTTTTTTTTTTTTGTCAGTGGAAAGTGTCATGATGCCATTTCTAACCTTAGGTCCCTGGGCGGGACCCGGAAAGAAATGTGTAAACGCCAGAAATCAAAGGAAATAATAATAATAATAATAATGAACGCTACAGCCCTAAAATTTCATATCATTCCACCAGTATTAGTAAATATGAAAAAACCTCTGACCTATTATAATTGTTACCTTTTGAAACAAATATTAGACGACAGGATTAGTAGGGTATGAAAATATATCTGCCCCAAAATATCAGGTATATTTTTTTCCAGATTTTATGCACTGAACATAAAAATTGTTCTGAGACAGAGGCAGTAATATATAATAAGTCTTGCGTTTCATAACAATTTGTAATTTTGCTAACTCATTTCACACGATAATTATGAGAGAATATCCTATTATAATACTGCTTTCCTCGCCGTTAATTACTTAGTTAACACGACCGTTACGCCCTGTCAATACCTCATAAACAATCGACTATTCCGTTTTGATCGCGGGAAAAGACGAATAACATATCAGAGACACTACTGGATTTCAGTGAAAGAAAGAAAGAAAGAAAAAAAGAAAGAAAAAAGAAAGAAAGAAAGAAAGAGAGAAGAGGCGATAACATTCTCAGGTGTTTAACGTTTGTTTCAATTAAATGGGAAAATTGTCAATTTCAACTCTTTTCATTTGAATCCCCTTACTTCTTAAAATCACGACCAGCATTCATATTTTAATTGTTATTGCAATATTTTCTTAAAGTCGTTAAGCTCAAATATTTAACGATGTGATAGGAGAATCTCTACCGATATGTGCTTATTCAATCATTAAATTGAAATTAAGATTCATTAGAAAATTTAAATGCCAAGACCTTAAAATATTCACGTTTATTTCTAGTGATATATATATATATATATATATATATATATATATATATATATATATATATATATATATATATATATATATATATATATATATATATATATATATATATATGTGTGTGTGTGTGTGTGTGTGTGGATAGTGGCTTGATTGAGGAATCGGAGAGCCGAGTTCGAATTCCAATCGAATCTATTACATTCACTTACGTGCTAATACCCCTGGGAAAGGTGTGAATCCTCTTCTTCTCTCTCCAGCTATGGGTAAATAGCAAGACAGGCTGGGTTCTATAGCCTTGGATGGCAATTGGTCTAGGAGAAGGACAACTCTGAATTCAATACCTGCGGAGGGTCGTTTGGGGACCTTTTGTCATTTAGTGCACCAGGTCTCTGTATACGGCCCTTCGAAAAGTGTGGATGGTCCTGCACGAAACCTTTACCACTATAATCAAATCTCATGTGCTGTTGTCGGGCTGTCGGTTGCCTGGGAACTGATCTGCTTGACCCTCGTATATATATATATATGAAGTGTTGACTTCAATGTTCACTTTTATATATACATACGCTCTATCTCTTATATTGAGCACTTTATCTCATATATATAGCACATCTTAAGAGTATATTTTTCATATATATATATATATATATATATATATATATATATATATATATATATATATAGAGAGAGAGAGAGAAATGAATCTCTCTCTCTCTATATATATATATATATGATGAATGAATATATATATATATATATATATATATATATATATATATATATATCATGTATGAGAAATGATATTTAGAAGACGCTGACCTTTATTTGTATCGTTCATAATAAGAATATCTCTTTGTAATTCAAGGAAACCAAAAGGAATGTCGATCATTTCACATGATGGCATCCGTACGTTTCCCTATTACGGAAGCCACAACAGGATGACACTTTAATTTATATTATTCTCTGTCTATATTTCTGAGGTGAAGTATTGTAATTATATTATTATAAATAAAAATGCTCGTGATTCTAGAGTCAATCTGCAGACAGTAGGAAATTTTATGAAGACCTTTAGGATAGCTTCATGATACGATAAGTTCATGCTAATAACAGTTATCAAAGTAATGGCATTGCTGAATTATTATTATCATACTTATTTGCT